ACAGACCAGCGAGAAAATTAACGCAACAGGAGCAGCGAGTGGGAAGGGAGGAGGCGTGGTGTTTCGAACAGAAGCTTGGCTGGACTGGGAGCCAATTAGATTTAGGTGGGGAGGGGCTGAAAGGAGTTCCAGCTGAGTCAGAAAGCTCTAGTTGGGGCGACTGCAAGGTTGCCATTAACCCGGAAGAAAAGTTTGCGGGAAAGATGGGAAAGGCTGGATTTGCGAAGCTGGAGGAGGGGGCACTGCCCGGGATGTCAGAACTCCGGAGAGAAGCGGGGCTGTGGAGGGACATTAACAAAAAGAACTTTACACAATGCCAACATTCCAATGTTATTTTAATTCAAAGAATCGCAGAATTTCAGAACAGTCAGAGTGAAAGAAGCAGGCTGAGAGAAATTACCTACCTAAAGTAACTCACTTCTGACGACATAATGTGCTACCAACACGCAAAACCAAACTTCCTTTTTCCTTTTTAGCTTTTCCAGTTAGCTGAAGTGAAAAGGGAGGAAAGAGGGGGAATAAAATGAGCAGTGGCACTGTGGAGACAGGCCTGGCAACAACACCCCCACTCACCCTGCTTAGGGTTACTTGTTAAGTGCCCAGCACCGTGACCACCACACACTTAAATATCTATCTGGGACGAGGTTGCTGAGTGGTTACGGCGATGGACTGCTAAGTATCTCTCTGCTCAGGACGTGAGTGAAGGCCTGAATGCTGTAGGGACGATTTGCAGGCCTGGGCACAGCTGAGAGACCTCTTCAGCACTGGTTTCTGGGTACTATTGCACAGTACTGCCCTGTGACCCAAGGTCTGTGCTTATAGCTTTACATGTATTATGTCACCTGCCCCCATCACAGTCCCTTAACATGTACAACATATTAAATATACTCATTCACATATAATAAAAATTAAATTATACAGGAACATGAAAGATAACTATTATCACCCCATTTTACAAATGAGAGCAAGCCTTAGAGAATTAGAAAAAATTAAGCCGCCGAAACCAGTTTGGCTCAGTGGATGGAGCATTGGCCTGAGGACTGAAAGGTCCCAGGTTCGACTATATATATATATATATATCCCTCCACATTGGGCCACATAAGCATTTTCTTGAAAATAAAAATACACCTCATGGATCATTTATCAGATACTTCAACCTTGTTATACAAATCAGACAGAATGAATCATCCTGCAGATTTAGAATCCACTCAAGCCAACATTTACCAGGAACCTACTGGGAGCACTGGGCACTGTTCGTGGTGCTGGAATGTTGGTTGTGTCCAGGAACACTAGAGGGCGCACAGCTTCCAGGAAACCCTCTCCGGAACCGGAAGCGGAATGACCCTCCCAGGAGTCTCTAGCCTAAGACCTGAGAGGCAATCCCAGCGCCATGAATCTGCTGTTTTACAAGCCCCGGTGTTTCTATCAACGGAAAGGTGCGCAAGGAGAGCCCGCACACACAGGACCGCGAGCTCGCCAGCTTGGCAGCCCAGGATTGGGGAGCCGGCATTATCACTCCACAGGAGGCGGCCGAAGCTCAGAAGTAAGGTTGCTTTCCTGAAGTCCATCGGAAGCTAAGTGGTAAGGCTGGTCTAAGCTCTGGTGTTTAAGCTGCAGTCTGGGGTTTACTCCAATGCTTGAGCCACAGGTGGTTGAGGCAGAAATAAAGAGGCTTATCACTGAGGAATGCCTCCCCAGGCCCATTTCCTTTGGCCTCAGTGCACTGCTAACATGCCGAAAATGAGACATCCTGCAGCGATGCAACTGACAAGTAGGAGCCATGTAGACCTTAAGAATCAAAATTTTGGGACCACTGATACACGATATACCCAAGTCTCTCTCTCTCTTTTTTTAAATATATTTTTTATTGATTTTTTACAGAGAGGAAGGGAGAGAGAGAGCTAGAAACGTCAGATGAGAGAGAAACATTGACCAGCTGCCTCCTGCACATCCCCCAAAAGGGATGTGCCCGCAACCAATGTACATGCCCTTGACCGGAATCGAACACGGGACCTTTCAGTCCACAGACCAACACTCTACCGCTGAGCCAAACCGGTTTTGGCAATATACCCAAGTCTTTTAATTATAAAACCCAGTTGACTGTAAGCTGTATCATTAATTTGATTTTTAAAAAATATATTTTAGAGAGAGGAAGGGAGAGAGGGAGAGAGCTAGAAACGTCGATGAGAGAGAAACATCGACCAGCTGCCTCTTGCACACTCCCTACCAGGGATATACCCGCAACCAACGTACATGCCCCTGACCGGAATCGAACCTGGGACCTTTCAGTCCGCAGACCGACGCTCTACCACTGAGCCAAACTAGCTTCGGCTAATTTGATTTTTTAAAGGAGTAAAACTATATGAATATACGGATAAAGTATATAAACCAATTGGTGAAAATATGATTAAAATAGTCCTTACAATAGGGTGGCAATTAAATGTAAAATATAAACTATAATATAGGATTGGAAGTGATCTCAGAGATTAATGTTTCATTATTTTACAGATGAAGAAACTTGGCCCTCTTGATGGTCTCATATAAATAATGACAGAGCAAACTGGAACAAAAGTTGTTTTAAAATATAATATTTTATTAATTTCAGAGAGGAGGGGAGAGGGAGAGAGAGAGAAACATCAATGATGAGAGAGAATCACTGGGGCAGGGTGGGCTGGAGGGGGCCAATGGGGGCATATGTAATACTTTCAACAATAAAGAATAAAAACAAGTAAAATGGGAGTATAAAACATGGAATCTATGTGCTCTATCTGAAAGGATTTCTCTCATAAGCCATGGGAAGGGCATTCCTGTGGACAGGGAGCTGTTCAGATGCTACTCACACAAATATACATCTTTACAATACCACTGGGCCACATACTCTGTGCCCGGTAACAAAATGGTACTCATGTGAAGAAAAAGCCGGTTCACTGACAGATTTATATGACCAGGGAAATTTACAACCCAACATCCCCACCCACAAAAGTCTACGCTCAAAGGCGTGCGAACAACCTGCAACCACTTCCTTCACATGCTGTCCTGACGTCCTCCCAGCCTAGCCCCTCCCCAGCGCTGCCCCCTGGCGGCTGGCTCAAGCACGGAGCGTTCTAAGCACAAGCAGTTCAGTGTGTACAGAAGACAGATGAAAACAGAGGCGAAGAGCACTTGCAAATGAGAGTTCAACCGCAAGGTTTATGGGTGAAACAGCCCTGCCCTACTCTCTTCATAAACAATAAATATCCAAACACTCATTTCACTCTAAGTTGTTTTGCTAATGACAACCATGTTTTTAATAACATTAGAATATGTTATTAAGACAATGTTTAATAACATTTTGAAAAACTAACTACTAACTACTGAGCTTCATCACTTGGGAGATGAGCAAACTTAACGCCTTCAAGTGCCTATTGAATAAGCACCTTCTCGGCACCTGCCCCTGAACGCAGGAGGTAAACAACCAGCTCACAGCAAGCCCAGAGGACAGCCAGGAACCACCACACACACTACATACAACACAGGTGACCAGGCTCGGGGACACAGGAAGTGTGCGCTCTCCTCGGCGAGCCAGCCTGCACCTGTGTGCGCCAGAGGGGGTTCCACCAGGCGGCATGGTCCCGGGCCTTCCAGAAGAGCCAGTGAACGGGGAGGGAGGGGGTGCAGGACCGCTGGGCAGGGTGCACCGTCTGAGGCATAGGCATGGCCACCATGGGGCTGGTGCTTGGAAAAGGGAGCGCAGCACGTACGAGGTTTAGAGATTGAACACTCCACACCGGCCTGCGTTCCCACACACGCGGGGAGTGAATCCTGGACTGTGGATCGGGAGCCCCGACAATGACAGGCCGCCCCCAAAACCGCTACAAAGTAACCTGCGGCCACTACGGACACTAACTCTGACGCCGCTGAAAAGGGCCAAGGAGTTACGTGTATCGAAGTGTGCAAAGACTCCCCCTTCCTTCTCCAACTCCCTGCTCAGCGTCAAAGCCACGGGCCGCTCCCAGTATTCAAACTGCGGGCAGTGTCCCCCGTCTCCGCAGCTACCACCAGACTTCACATCCAACAGCCCCGATCTAAGCAGGTGCCGAGAGAATCCTACCGCCACGGCCAGCTCATCTGTCCCCAGGCCACACCCCCGCCCGGCAACTTCTTACAAACTAACTTCCAAGAACACGCTCCCTCGGTGGGTGCGGAGTGGGAGCGGGGCCGCGGGCCGGGGCGGAGCGGGGCGGTTCTGCCCGCGGCTCCGCGGCTCCGGGTCCGGGCGCCCCCGCCGGCCCCGCTCACAATGGAGTGGAACCGGCCCCGCGAACACGCGCGGCCGCGCCCCGCGCCCGGTGCGAGCGCCGCGCTCCCATCGCGTGCGGCCGCGCGGAGGGGCCGCGGAGGGACCAGCGTTCTCGGGGCTGCGGCGCCGCCCGCCGGCGGGGAAGCGGCCGCGGGGCCGGGGCGCGGGGGCCGGAGCGGCGCGCTGTCACCGCGCGGGGCGGCCGGCGGGGCGGCGGGAGGGAGGCTCGGCCCAAACACACCGCCGCCGCGGAGCCCGCCGCCCATTGGAGAGGAGGGAACGCACGGTCCCCCAATCGGAGCGGCGGGGCTGCTCCCCGCGTGCGGCCGCCGCCCGGCCCCGCGCCGGCCGCTACCGCTCCCTTCCGGCGGCGGCGCCCACTGCAGCCCCGGCCCGCGGCCCGCCCCCGCCCCCGCCCGCGCCGCGGCCCGCCCCCCGCCGCCGCCCCGCTCACCGCGCCGCCCGCTCCTCCGGGCGCGTCGAGCTCCTCGCCGGGCCGCTGCGCTGGGGGGCCCGCGCCGCCCGGCGCCGCTCCCCGTCCCCCCGAAAAATTAATCACCAAAAAATAATTCCTCAGAAAAATGGAGAGTAAAATCCAAGATGGCGGTGCCGCGGCACCGCCCGCTCCCTCCGCCGCCGAGAAATGAGTCCCAGCCGCGGCCGAGCCCCCCGCCCCCATCGCGCCGGCCCCGCGCCCGCGCCCCCCGCGCCGCGGCCTCACCTCGCCTCGCGCGCGGCCGCGGGGTCCCAGAGGCCGCCGCCCGCTCCGAGGCCCGCGTCCCGGGGCCGGCGCCGGCTGCCACCTCCCGTCCCCGGCAGCCTCACCTCATCGCCCCGCAGCCTCGCCGCCCGCGCCGCAGCCGCGTCGCCGCCCCGGTGCGCCGCCCGGACGCCGCCGGCTCGGTGGGGAGACACGGAAAGGAGTGCCCTCGCCGGGCGGAAGGACACCGCCGACTCGCCTCCCCGTCACCTCTGTTGCTTTCACGGGACTCGCGGGGGGAGGCGGAGAAACCCGAGAGAGAAAGGAGTCCCCGCCGGTTGCTCCCGCGGCGGAGGGACAAAAGCGAGGCTGCGGGACGGACCGCCGCACGCCCCGCGGAGGGATCCGTGCGGAGCGGCCGGCGGATCCCTCCGCCTCCGCCCTTTAAATCGCGGCCGGAGGCGGCGGCGCCGCTCGCCCGCGGGCGCCGCTCCTCGTCTCCCTGCGCCCCCGCCCCGGACCCCCGGCCGCCTCACCCGCCCGCACCGACCCCGGGGCGCCGCTGCGGCCGCGGGCTCCTGCCCTCCGCTCCCACGGCGCCGCCCGGCCCGCCGAGGCGAGGCGGCCCCGCCGAGGCGAGCCTCTTTGTTGTGGAAATGGTGTCGTTGGAGGCAGATACACCCGAGTCCGGGTGGGCAGCCTCGGCGGACGCCGGAGGGAGGGAGGGGCATGAATGCTAGTGTCACCGGGCCCTTTCTTGAGCTCCTACTGTGCGCCGGCCTTCCCCGAGGCGGCGGTGTTGCCACTTCCCTCCCATGGGCAGCGCAGGCTCCGACATGTACGCCCCTCAGGGCGCCCGGCCCTCAGGGTGCCGGGCCTTCAGGGTGCCGGGCCCTCAGGGTGCCCGGCCCTCAGGGTGCCAGGCCTTCAGGGTGCCCAGGCCCTCAGGGCACCCGGGCCCTCAGGGTGCCTGGGCCCTCAGGGTGCCAGGTCCTCAGGGTGCCCAGGCCCTCAGGGTGCCGGGTCCTCAGGGTGCCGGGCCCTCAGGGTGCCCGGGCCCTCAGGGTGCCAGGCCTTCAGGGTGCCCGGGCCCTCAGGGTGCCCGGGCCCTCAGGGTGCCAGGCCTTCAGGGTGCCCGGGCCCTCAGGGTGCCCGGGCCCTCAGGGTGCCCGGGCCCTCAGGGTGCCAGGCTTCAGGGTGCCCGGCCCTCAGGGTGCCAGGTCCTCAGGGTGCCCGGGCCCTCAGGGTGCCAGGCCTTCAGGGTGCCCGGGCCCTCAGGGTGCCGGGCCCTCAGGGTGCCCGGGCCCTCAGGGTGCCGGGCCTTCAGGGTGCCCGGGCCCTCAGGGTGCCAGGTCCTCAGGGTGCCCGGGCCCTCAGGGTGCCAGGCCTTCAGGGTGCCCGGGCCCTCAGGGTGCCCGGGCCCTCAGGGTGCCAGGCCTTCAGGGTGCCCGGGCCCTCAGGGTGCCCGGGCCCTCAGGGTGCCCGGGCCCTCAGGGTGCCAGGTCCTCAGGGTGCCCGGGCCCTCAGGGTGCCAGGCCCTCAGGGTGCCAGGCGCCCAGGCCGGTTGGAAGAGGCCAAGTGCTTCGCACAGGGCGGGGAAGGGGGGGATTGTGCAGAGCCCTGCTCTTGGGTCCCGCAGGCTGATGACAATGACCACAAAAATGGCAGTAACGTGCACAGCCTTTAGTCCTGCTACTTACTCCTTACGACAACCCCAGGAGGCGGGACCCTGTGGCCCCGGTTTACACACAGGGAAGCTGAGGCACAGAGAGGTTAGGCTAGCTCTGCAGCGGCCGCCAGGGCTGGAGCCGCAGACTCTAGGAGAAGTTGGGGTGGCCACAGGCTGGCAGGCGCGGGGAAGGTGTCTCCGGGGAGACCTACGGGGACCGGTATGTCAGGGAAAACGGGGCCGATAGGAAATGTGGGACCAACAAGTGCGAAGGCCCCAGGAGGGGAAAGAGGCGGCACCTTCCAGAACTGAGGGAACCCGGCACAGCTCCCGGGCAGGGCAGGGCGGGCAGGCGGGCCCTGCGTCCTGGGGCCTGGCACAGAGTAGGCAGACCGGTGAGAGCTGGGAGCCAACCCCCACACAGGTGCTTACCACCTTGGCCTTGGGTGGCCCACACGGAGGGCTTAGCCTCCCTTCCACAGGTGGGAAACAGCCCCTGTGCTGAGGGCACGTCTGACAGAGGCAGAAGCGGGTCTTGAACTTCAAAACCAGAGCTCCTCCCACCGCCCTCATTCCCTCCAGTTTCCCTGCTCTGCTCTGGAGGCTGAGTTGGGGGGCGTGGGCGGGACGAGCCCTCAGGTAGAGCATTGCTCTGGGCCTCCTGCTTTCACTCTACAGCTTGGGCCTTCCGTGCCATCAGAATTCCCCCGGTCACGTCCCTCTTTGCAGACACACCTAGCAAAGGATTGCTTTGGCTTTAGTCGTTTCTGACTTACCACCCAAACGTTCTTTCCAATATTTCCATAGTGCGTGGCTCCAAATACTCAAATTGCATCCCACTGACACTGCCTTTGCCCACGGGCGGCATGCACACCGCCTCCAAGGGGCAGCCACAGCCCAGTGTGGCCCTCGGGGCCTGGGCAGCCTTCACAGCCTGGCCCACCACACGCCAAGCTTTCCAGAGTCCACTCGAACATGGTGCTCTCCACGGACCCCCGGGCTGGCACCCAAACCCCAGCCTATAAAGGCCCGAGTCTCAAGATGCCAGCACCTCCTTTTAGTCACTGCCCAGTGCTAGGCTGCGTGCTCTGGGCAGTGACTCCCCAGGGATCAGCCAGCCCACAGCTTGGCAGGGCCAGGGAGCAGACCTGGGCAGCTTCCTTCCAGGCTGCCGGCTGGGGGTCTGCCCTCCCCAACCACTTGTGTTGCTGAGTTGGGGCTCAGAACCTCCATGGAGCCATACTGAAGGCTTGGTGCCTTTGGCGGGGGAGGGGGGAGGGGGGAGGGTAAGGGGTGTGTGGGGGGGTCCCTGCTGGGATCCTGTGCCCAGGGAGGTCAGGGCTGAGCTGGTCAGGGGGCGCAGCCGGGAGTGGCCCTCCGGGGGAGACAACAAATTGGACTTTCCACAGAGCGTGGCCAGCTGGCGGCTCTCCTGCCAGCTGGCAGGGAGGGGGCGGGGACAGGAAGTAGTGCGGCCAGGCACCTGCCCAGCCCCCACGTGACAGGAGCCATTGGCATTTACACTTCGAAGCCTCTGGCTGCTCCAAAGTGGAAGTGCTAAGCCACAGAGGCCAGGGTCACCGCCTCCCCCCGCCCCCCGCTCCCAAGCGGGACAGGCAGAGCGATAGTGACAACTCCAAAGAGGCCTAGTCAGCCAGTCAGCAGAAGGCCCACCAGCCCCGGAAGCCTCAGGAGTGCCAGCTCAGCCTGGCGCTGACCCGGGAGCGGTGCCCTTGCCAGGAGCTGGCTGAGGCCACAGCCTGTCTCAGCCCCCCAGCAGGGCCCAGGGACACTCCAGAGACCCGCCTGGTCCCCCCAACCCTGCATCCCTTTCCACCTGCCCTTCCTCCAGTCCGTTTTGCCCAGCGACCGCCTGGCAGGGTTTGCCTGCTGGGATCCTGTGCCGAGCCTGGACTTCCAGGCAGAGTGATGGTGGCTTCTCATGGAAAGTGACACGATGGCTCTGGACTCTGCGTGAGTCTCTCCCGGTCCCCCATCTCTTCCTGGAAGACCTGACTGCCCCGATGAGAGCGGGGTCTGGGTCTGGTGGGAAAGGGGCAGGGGCACACCCAGGACCATTCGGGTGGCCCGTCTGGGTACCTGCCTGAGCACCACCAGGCTCCTGCATCACCCTCGTCTTCTGCCTGTCCCTGCACTGCCCACCTCTCCTGATGGTGAGGAAACCAAGCCTCTGAAAGGTCCAGCGACCTGCCCACAGCTCCAACAGCAGCAAGACTTGGCAGCTGCAAAACGGCTTGGCAGGTTCAAATCCCAGCTCCGCCGCTCACCAGCCATGGTGTTTGGGCAGATGAGGTAGCCTGTCTACAGGGTCTTCTCCATGGGAGAGGGTGCCAGCCCCTGGACCTGCTGAAGTAATCCCACTCACAACCTCCACGTCGCTGTTGTACTTGAGGTACCCAAATGCCTGCCTCCAGCCTGGTGGAGGGCATTCCACACACAGCATCGCTAAACACACACACACACACACACACACACACACACTCGTGCACACTCCCACCTCTCAGCTATCCTTCCCCTTGCTCAGGTGCAATACCGAGCTTCCGTTCTCCCTTTACTGCCTGCATTTCTCTCTCCTTAGAACGCATCACGATCTAGCATCCTCTATTATGTACTCACCGCGTCTCCTGGGCGTCTCCCCTTCTGGGCTGTCAGCTCCTTGCGGGCAGGGCCTTGCCAAGTTCTCGGCTGTATCTCTGCATCCAGAACAGCCCCTGGGCTGCCGGGCAGAGGCTCAGCCCCCGAAGGACAGCCCCTCCCAGGGCTGCTTCAGGGATGAAGGAGGTGGAGGTGGTCCAGGCTCTGGGCTCAAGCTGCTTGCCCCATGCCCTGGGGTTTGTGTCCACCTGGGCAGTCCCCAAGAGACAGGATCTTGGGGTTCCCCTCACTTGCCCCACCAGCACCAAAAGAAGCCCGGTCTTCGGCCTGTCCTCCCACACACACACTCCAGGGAGTAAACAGAGAGACCGTCAGCAGCGGACACCCAGGTTCCTCACCGCCAGGGAGAGCTGCCTCTCGCTGCTGTTTAATAATCTTCATGTGGCACAGAGCATCGGTCTGCGGACTGAAGGGTCCCAGGTTCGATTCCGATCAAGGGCATGAACCTTAGTTGAGGGCAAATCCCTGATGGGGGGTGTGCAGGAGGCAGCTGGTCGATGTTTCTCTCTCATCGATGTTTCTGGCTCTCTCTCCCTCTCCCTTCCTTTCTGTAAAAAAAAAAAAAAAAAAAAAAAAAAATATATTAAAAGATAATAAATAAAAGTGTTTAATAAAAGAGAGAAACCCTCTGGTGTGACTGACACCTGTGTAGGGAGCAGTTTACCCAGGTGTGTGCCTTCTGAGGACTTGCATACTGTACTAGGACATCTACGTTCTGTACACGCAATTAGACATTCAAAAGAGGGGAATTCTGGGGGCGGGAGTGAATGGGACTGGGCGACTGCTCAATGTGAACTTCTCCAACGTTCCCAGGACTGGCAGAGCAGTCAAGGAGAACACCCGGTTAGGTTGTTTTCCTGGGGCATTTCCCGGATGTTGGTCTGGATGCTCAGGCACCATGTGGTCACGAGGGGGCGCTATGGGCCCAGGTGTGAGGTCTGAGGCAAGGGCAGGACCTCGGGATGATGAAATGGTGGTGTGGCCTAGCCTGGCTAATTGGCCTCCAATTAAGGAATAGG